GCCCTCCATGTGCGGCTTGACATTCTCTATGTGGAATCAGAAATGTTGGAGGGCCCCAACGCGGAGGAGGCCAAGAAGGCAATTCTCGAGTGTGACGGCATCTTCGTTCCTGGCGGCTTCGGTAAACGTGGTGTGGATGGCAAGTGTGCTGCGGTGGCATTGGCGCGGCACCACAACATTCCCTACTTCGGTGTCTGTTTGGGCATGCAGGTCGCCCTCATTCAAGTGTGCCGTGAAGAGCTTGGGTGGAAGGACGCCAACAGTGAGGAGTTTGACCCTTCCAGCACACATCAGATTGTGCGCATCATGGACTGTGATCGCCATAGTATGGGGGCGAACATGCACTTGGGTGCCCGCAATGTGCATCTTGTAGAAAAGAACTCCATCATGTCCACAATATACTCCGGTGCTGACTTCGTCGTGGAGCGCCATCGTCACAGATATGAGGTGAACACAACATATCTTGGCCAATTGCGTGGGGCCGGAGTTTTGATCAGTGGTGTGTCGGACCCGACGTTTGGTCCGCACACGCGTGTGGAGGCGATTGAGATTCCGTCTCTCCGCTTCTTCCTCGCTGTTCAGTTCCACCCAGAGTTTGTGTCGTCGCCCATGGACCCATCGCCGCCGTACCTCGCATTCATGGCTGCGGCCTCGAAGAAGGAGTACAAATGGCCGGAATCGTGCGCCGCACGCCGTGTCAAGACGTTGTAGTCCAAATTGTGGGGACACATGTACGGAGAGGTACTTTGAGGCAGGCGTCCGAAGAGCGGAGGTATGAAAAGGACACACACACACACACACACACACGTAAGAGAATGAGAAAACAGAAATGGAGGGGAACACAACGACTACCCTCCAAGGTATTAGCACGAAAAACCAGAAGAAAAAAAAGAAGGCCCCTACGCAACTTACAAAAAAAAAAAAAAAAACAGACAAAGAGGAAACGTAAAAAAAAATATATATTAACAAAAAAAAGGGGGGATGGCGATGTGGGAAATGGAGCCGCAACGTAAAATGTAACGAGATAGAGTCGTTATATGAATACTGTTGAGGGCTTCCGCGTGTCTGCGTGTGTGTGTGTGCGTTTGATTGTTTGTTCTCCCTGACTTCCTTTGGCGCAGCGGTGTTGGATGTTGACAGATGAAGGGAGATGGGAACGCTACATTCATTCAGTCGCTGGTACGAATGAAGGAAAATAGATCTCCATACATCTATATATTTATCTTTCCATTTTCCACGTGGCACTACCGAGACAAACTCGTGTCGTTACGAAGGGGAAATGCGGAAAGATTTGACTTTTAAAGTTAAAAAAAAAAAAGAAAAAAAAGAAGGAAAAAAAAAATTTAATGAAGAGGGAAGGCGTCTCATCCGTTGCTTTTAGGATCTAAGAAGAAAAGAAGAAAAACAAAAAAGCAATCATGTTGATCACTACGTTGGCATAAATAAATGCGTGTTCTTCGCTTGGTTGCTCTCACGGACGGGAAGTACGAGAAGCGGAGGCGTATATACACAGATATATGCGTGTGGAATAGACATTTGTATAAATTCCTTGGGCCAAGGTTGTTGTTTTCCTTTTTTTTTTGTCTTGTTTTGTTTTGTTTTGTGTGTGTGTTTGGCGGAGTTGTTGGAAGATGATGTTAAAGCTGGGGAGGGGGGGGGGAAGTGAAGATTCGAAACGGGATAACTGCAAAGAACTGATCTGTTGTTGCTTTTTTCTTTTTTTCTTTTTTTTTCATTGGCGTGTTATATGAAAGGAGTGGGGGAAATAATAATAATGATAATGTTGATATGAGTGTTAATGATAACAACATGTGGATGGGAAATTGGGAAGATGAAAAAAAAGAAAAAGAAAAAATAAAAGAGAAATGCCTGGAGGCAAAAAGAGGTGGTGGTGGGCATGGCATCTTCTGAAGATAATGCGTTTTTGTTGTTGTTGTTTTTTGGCGGGTGGGGTGGGGGAAGGGTGCATGCGCAACATTTGTTTGTTGTTGTTGTTGTTGTTGCTTTTCTTATGGCTCTTTTATTTTGTTCTTTTGGCCGGTTTTTCCCCTCTCTCTAAAGTGGGGTGAAGGGAGGCGGAGAGGATATCTTCCGTAAATTTCAGTATTATGTCTGCCGGCAGATAAACAACGAGCACAACGTGAGAAAACGAAAAGGAAAAAAAAAAGATTGAAAGGAGACTGAGAGAAGGACATCAAGGAAAGAGAAGGCATTCGTTACTTTTACGACAGGGATGAGTACTCGGCAATTTACTGGGGTTCTCATAAAGGACGGGGCGATGGGTACACTTCTGGAGTCATGGGATGTCGACTACGCCAAGGCAGGATCAATGTGGTCTTCCTCCGTTCTTCTTTCAGAAATGGATTTGGTTAAACGTGCCCATCGGGCATACATTGATGCTGGATGCGACGTGCTCTTAACGTGCACCTACCAAATGCATGAAGAGGGATGTGCGGCGTCAAAAGTGACCATGTGTGAGCTGGTGGACCGTGCAGTCCAGGCAGCACGTCACACCATGCCACAACGAAAACAAAAAGGATTAACCGAGGAGAGCACGGCAAAAGAAAGAAGGACTGGCGGTATTGATGTGTTTCGTTATGCACTTTCTTCCATCAAAGACAATGGACAGGAACGAGTTGTTTTGTTGGCAGGGAGTCTGGGGCCGTATGGTTCCTCCTTGCCAGGGGGACAGGAATACCTTGGCGAATACTCCATACATGAAGCCGTCATCAATGCGTTTCACGCCCGCCGGTTAGAAGCGTTTCTGTGCAATGTGGGTGAGAAGCATGCGTTCAAGGTGGACTTCCTCTTGCTGGAAACTTTTCCACGTCTGGATGAGGCGCTTGGTATCCTTTCTTTTGTAAATCAACACGAAATTCTGCGTACTGCGCCTTTTTGTTTTAGTTTTATCGCGGTGCCTGTAAAAAATCCCCTTCCCGAGAACGCGGATGATGACGCCCTGGACAACTGGTGGAACGCCGCCGCATCATCCATTCGACTTCCAGACGGCAACACATTTGAGGGAGCGCTTTCTGAGTTGCGGGGGAATTGTGGGACGGCACTGGTGGGCATGGGGTGTAACTGCAGTGGTCCACTGGAGGTGAGTCTTGTGGCAACTGCTCTGCTTCACAAGAAGCGTCAAGACACGGAAGGGCCATTGGTGCTCCTGCTTTACCCAAACTCGGGCGAAAAGTTCACGGATGGACAGTGGAAGAAGCCACTTCAGCAGATACAGACATCAGCGGCAGAAAGGTTATCCATGCGGGACCTAAAGCGAATATTAGCACGAGGAGGTGGGAATTTGATAACATTTATGAAGTTTTTACTACAGTTGCTGCAGCAACGTCCCGAGGCAACGGATTGGTTGTTTGAAATTATTGTTTGCGGCGCCTGTTGTCGATCTACACCGGAAGATATTGCGGCCTTGAATCAAGTGGCACGGGAGGAACCCTATTTGCATGCTTAAAGAAGAGTAAAAAAAAAAAAAGGGAGAGGGGGGGGGGGGGGAGTTGAAAAGTTGAAAGTAAACAAAGAGTGGTGACGATGATTGATTGATTGAGTGGCAGGATATTTATATTGAATGCAGTGTGATGCATTGCAGAAGAAAAAACCTGTCGGGGGGGTTATGTGTGTCTCTTTAGTGGGGGGTAGTGAGGAGGTCAGTGGGCGATATTATTATTTTTTTTTTTTTTTGCTTTCCGTTTGTTGAGTAGTTTTTTTTTGTTTGTTTTTGTTCTCCTAGTTTCTTAATACCTTTTTGTTGCTTGTCCTTAATTCACTGCTTTTTTTTTTTTTATTATTTTGGCGGATGGATGTTGATTCTTGCGTTTGTGTTGTTTGCCAAATGTATGTTGGGAATTATGATGTTCCTTCATGCCTTTATTATTAATAATAATATTATTATTATTGTTGCCATCCCTCTTTGTGTTCCATCCGCAGCGGTGCAGATGTAATATATATTATGGGAGTGGCTTTTTGGAAAAAAGTTGGCATCATTCCTGTTGGACGTAAAAAGTCACTCATTGAACTTGTGTGCATGCACCCAACGCCCTGCTGTTCCACCGGATGTCGAGTGGGGGAGGAAATGAATTGCGTCCATTCTTTTTTCTTGTTGTTGCTAGGGGTTGTTTCGTGAGTGCCGGTGGGCGCAGTTTCTTTTTTTTTTTTTTTCTTTTTTTCTTTTTTTCTTTCTCTCCCTTTCTCTTTTTGTGTGTGTGTGTCTGTGTGTGTGAAGGAGGATTCCATTCGTTTTCTGTTTGGGCCTTTGCCTTTGTTTTTTGATTGGAAGTCGCAGGAGATTTTTAAAAAAAAATGCTACAACTCTTTCAGCACGTGCAGAAGGCATGTCTGCAGCGTCTCGGGGTCTCTGCAGACGCGGAACAGGGGAATGCGGACGACACGACACCGCCACTGGCCATTTCGATTCGGCGTCTTCGTGCCATAGCGGGAGGGACAAGTGTGAGGCGGTCGCTGGCCGGCGCAGTGGCGGCGGCAGTGCCGGAGGATGCGGCCCCGCCTAAGCAGTTGAAGCCGGTCCTTTACCCGACACCAGACGGGGCGCTTCGCCCTGCATCGGGGCAACGCAAGTCTTCAAGGCCGACTTTGTGTTCCTCGGAATTGTTCCCAGCGTCAATGACACCGGAAGATTCGCGTGGGTCGCAAGGGGAACAGTCATCGCCGAATGTGAGGCGCACATTGGGCCCGATTTTTGCCGAGGACGTGTCGTCACCTCCTTTTACCGCTGCTGTTGAAAGCGACAGGGAGACGCCTTTGCGGCGACGTTCTTTGCTTGCTGTAGCCGTGGATAATGGCCTCATGGAGACACTGATCCGCGTATGCACCCCCGCCAAATTGGCCACAGAGGCCAGGGACGATTTCTTTACATTAGAGGAGAGAGTTGAGGCGCTTTACACTATCGTTTATTTAGCATTTCACACGGACAATGGCAGGAGCATGAGGCAAGTGGACACGCGTGAGGAAAGGCAGAAAAATGGTAAGGGAGAAGGGGAAAACACGTCACTCGTTTGCAAGCTTGACCTTTTTCAACTGGCTGCAACGGCATGTGATGTTTTGAAACGTGTTGTGGAGCAGACATTGGAGCCTGGAGGGGTACACACCGAAGGAAAAAACGAGCAGCATGAAATTGAAAGGGATGCTCAGACACTGCGCGCTCTTGTCGTTGTTGCCAACACCTTTTTTATTCTTCTTGGCTGCCAGAACCCAAGCCACTGGCAGGAAGAAGAGGATGGCTGGGATATGGATGAGGCGACAATGTCGTACATCGATGTACCATCAAAGAAGATATTTTCCCTTTACGAGGCAACGACGCAGGAGGGTGATTTCTGTCTGTGCAGTGACGCCGATTCATCGTCGTACCAGTTTATGATAACCGCACTCACAGAGAATGGACTGTGGCAGTATCTACTGCGCCATGTGGCCTTTTCATTCTTGTCGAGGCCGGGAGTACCGTGTGCGTCTCACGACCATTTGGAGGAGCCCATTGCAGGGAGTAAACAACGGGAGGCTTCGGAGTATCAACGCATCGCACGCAATTTGGGGGTTCGTTTGACGCTTAAAATAATGACTCTTCTGCTTCTACGGAGTGTGGCAGCAGTCGATCGGGACCTCTCCAGCATTTTATGTTGCCTCACACCGGCGGAAGAAGAGGAACTGGAATTCGGGTGGCATCGTGCCTTCCCACGTTTAAAGGGGCAAGAGAAGAGTCATCCCTCACTTTCTTTAATGGAGAAGCAATTTGTGTTTACTCTACGGAGGCTATCAGGCTTTTTGGTTTTTCGCCGCCTCTCGTGCCTTGCAGCGAATGCGATGCATATCCTATTCACACGCTTACTGCTTCTACCGGCACCAATAAATGTCGACGTGCATGTTGTTCTGATGGCGTTATTCTTTGTGGAAGAGCACCCATCTTCCTTTCTGATGCAGACGCCTACAATGAGGGATGAAACGACGACTTCTCCCAATCATCTTCGTGGGGTTGACAGTTATGCCGGGTCCCGGAAAACTGGAAATACGGCGGTGGTATCCGACTTTCTTAACCACCTCCTGCATCTCTTCTCCTTTAACCTTTCATTACAACGCAAGAAAGAGGGTGGTCGTGTCCCTAAGAAACAGAGGTACATTTATGCCGTGAGAACAACAAGCACTGAACTGACCCTTTCGGGAGCCCTTCTATCGGTGGTGCTGCTTTTGGAACAGAAACAGCAAGAACGAAAGGGAAAAATAGAAGAGGAACGTCGACATTACCATGCGTGCAACGGGATTTCCATTGAAGCAATGATGACGCGGCACAACTTATACAGAACATGCGAGGAATCACCAGAGTTTCAGACGGCGTTCTCTGCAGGCTTGGGTCGAACACATCAAGTGATGCTTTTGTTTTCCGCCATTTCCGCCCAGGATGGCGTAGCCGTGGTGCCGTTAACGACGCTGCGTCTTGAAGGGACTCAATTAACGGCATTTTCACATTTGGTGCGCCCCAACGAACCCCTACCCTCTGCCCTGCATCGAAGGATGGTGGAGTCTGAGGCGTGGGCTGAGACGCTTACTGTCGGCGTTCGTAGCTCAGCCTCCATAGCCGCCTCCGCTGCAGGTGTAAGACGCAAGAAATCAGAGACCACTTTTTCCTGCGCTCTAACATGTCCGGTGCGACTTGGAACACTGAACCGCCAGCGCCAGGGATACAAGGACGCTCGAAACAATGAAGGTGCCGTCAGGGGAGATGGCTTGAGTGATCGAGTTCTGCAGGTGTATTTGAAGGCACCTTATACGGAAGAGCCCACAGGTGCAAAAACGATTAGTAGTGGCGCCATCAAAGCGACATGTGTTGTCCCACCGGAGGATTCACCACCCCCAATGTTTTTTGGATATGAACCTGCCAGTTTTAGGGATGGCGTGCATGCAGGTGGTGGCAATGGCAATCATAATAATCATAATAATAGTGGTGGTGGGAAAGTGGAAACCATGTTTGTGAATTGTGACCCTCTGAAGTATACCCAATTGGTTCATAACATGTCTTGTTCCTCGTCCCTCCAGCGCACGACAATGACGTACAGTGCCGCTGTTAATCTGACAATTGTCACAACACCATGCGAAGAAGATGAACAAGAGCTGATGTGGCCCTTTGACGCTGTCATTCTTGCCTGCAGTACTGTGCACGGTGATGAACTGCAGCTCTCGTCACAGCCCCCACAAAAATTTATTTACTCCCCACAGGAGGAAAAAAACAAGGCATTGTCAGAGCCGCGTGGGATAAACGAGAGAGAGGCGCAATCACGACATGATCGCCGTCGAAAAGTGGCATTGCAGCGAGGAGCATCGCCCCCGTGGGCAGGAACCAGGGGAGAAAAAGTTCTTTGTCATGCGTCGCGTCGCGATCGTGATGCCATCGCGTCCGCCGAAAGTCCCTCTCTGGCTGCTGTTAATGAGGAGAGTCATCTGTCGGGAGTTGAAGGGGGTTCATCACGCATGAAGGAGGAGATTTGTGTTCCTAATGGGAATGACCCCGAGGCTCAGGCGGGTTGTTCTCGCCATAGCCATGAAAATGGTGCGAGCCAAAGTGGACAAAACGAAGAAGAAGATGATGAAAACATGTTCACGGACCTCGATGCTTACGTGGCCAGCATAAAACCCTTGCAGGTTATAGACTTTGGCTTGCAGCGCAAAGAGCAGGAAGTGGCACTGCTGCAAAAACAGCTGGAGCAGTCAAAGGCTCGTGAAGAATCATTGCAAGAACGACTCCAAGAAGTCGTGGCACAGCGTGAGGAACTGATAAGCTCTCTAACAGACCGACGTGTGGAAGTCGAGCTCTGTCATACAGAAATTATTGCACCCCTACGAAGGGAAGTGACGCTGCTTCGACACTCGCTGAGTTTGAGAAACCAAGAAATGAGCTCCGTCATCTCACTTTGCCAAACGCTGCGGAATGAGAATGCGTCCATGGCCGAGATAATACGGGATGTTCGCGGTCAAGTGGAGAATTTGGCCCGAAATGCAGAGCACCAGAAATAACCCGTTTTTTTTTTTTTCAAGGTGTTATTAACTCTTGGTTCTTTCATTCTCTCTCTCTCTTTTTTTTTTCTTGTAAAGGCGACAGGGAGGCGGGGGGAGGGGGGAAGTCGCGTGACATCTTGTATTGTGTTTGCATGTAGTTTTGCATTATTACTGTTATTATTATTCTCTGCTGTGGGCAGGGAGATTTGTGTTTGTTGCCGTGGCATCGTATCATCTTTCATTCCTTCGCTCCGTGGACTTTTCAGTTGTTGTTTTTTTTATTATTATGTGTTACTTATGAATGTGATCGTTGCAAGCAGTCTTGCAAGCAGAAGAAAAAAAAGAAATGAAGAGTGGAGGAGGAAAGAGGAGGATGGGGGGGGGAATTTTTTAAAAAATGCGCCCTCACGCGTCACGTGGCGATATCCTTTCTTTTTTTTTTTTTTCTCTCCCTATTTGTGTTGTAATTTACGTTATCGACATTTTTATCACATCTTCATCCGTCTGTCTGTGTGGGGAGGATGCGGATGCATGGTGATATATTGCGCTTTTCTCACTCTGTGTCTGTGAGTCTGTGAGGGAGAGAGAGAGTGTGTGTGTGTGTGTGTGTGCGAGTGAACGGAAGGGGGAAGATTCCTGATGGGCACGTCATGACTATCGTTCCCCAGTAAAAAGGTGTGATGTTGTCTGCTTGCATTCAAACTAGCCCATTGTGATGTATCACATGTCCGTACGCGTATAAATACATTTGGTACGTGTGTGTGTGTGTGTGTTGTCTGTTTGTCCTGTACACCTGTTTTTTTCTTTTTGCAATTCTCTCTCTCTCTCTCTCTCTCTCTCTCTCTCTCTCTCTCTTCCACATAATCATTAAGGTATTGCGCGTATCCACATAAATAAATATATATATTTATATAAACGTAAAGATATACCTCGTCCTTGTCCCGTGTTAAATTGACCGTGTGGTGAAGGCTATTCAGCAGACGTTATTATTGTTGTAACATTGAATTAAAGAATTACTTGGCAAAAAGAACAGTTGTTGTTGTTGTTTTTAGTCAAAAAAAAAAAAAAAAAAGAAAGCCGCATGGTAAAAACCGTGCCGGACGATTATTTCCCCACGGAAGGTGATGGGAGGCAGACTGAGTTGTCCAAAGGAGAACCTTCATCCTCCGGTGGTTCTCGCATTACAGCATGGTTTTTGTCAAGGCCGTATACGCAATTTGTAGACTTTGGAGTCCCTGAGGGCGGGGCTCTCCGCAATGCTATTGACACCGTGACAGCGCTGGTGCAGGGGGATAAAATGGAGGCGGCAGGCCGTGTTGTTGAGGAAACGGCGCTCCATGTGGAGGTATTTGCAGTCAATGGAACGTTATTAGCGATGGGCACCAACGTGTTGCTAAGTGTGATTTTCAACCCTATGCGTACTTTCTTTCTAGAAATTCTGCTTAAAAACGAGAGAGGTAAACTCATGGTGGCATTACAACACACATTGTTTGGGTCTGACACCGCCAGTGCAACCAAAGGTGTGGCCCATGGCATGAATTCCAACAATGTCAGCGAGTCACCGTCACTCATCAACCGATTCTGGGTTATTCTTTTATCTATGGATTCCGATTGGAGGCGTCGCACCGAGGTGGCAATGATTTTGGTTTGTATTTTGCTGTGTGTTTTGATTCTTCTGCTGCGTCTCCGCTTCGCAAAGTACTTCAAGAGTCTTGAGCTGCAACTCCTTCAGCAGCCCAGCAAGACTGCGCGTCGCCCCGGCCGTAACACCACGGACCCGCAGGGGATGTCGCTTCCTTTCATTCCTCTCACGAGTAGGGGAAAGTTGGTTCCGGACAAGTTACCCCCTGCCATGTACGATGTTAGTGATGAGGCTTATGCCCATGATGATGACAACGAAAACAGTAATAGCGGTAACAGCCCGCCCTTCCTTTCAAGGACGATGTAGCGGGAGCTGCTGGCAAAGGGGGGAAAAAATAAAATAAAAGAGAGAGAGAGAGGCCACAACGAACGGAAAGAATTGCTGCTCAACAAGGAGAATTGGGCGCACGCCCATAAAATGTCGGAATGTGAAAAATAATAATAATAAAAGAAGGTTTTCTTTGACACAGTCCTTTGGGTTATTTTGGGATGTGTATACGTTTTTCTGTTTCTGTGAGTTTTTTTTTTCCCCACCACCCACCAGCCACCAGTCTTTCTTTTTTTTTTTTTTTCTTTTTGATTCTCTTCTCTTTTCAGTACCCTTTGGGCGAACGGGGACGAGTAGCGCATGGTAGATGTCGTTTCTGCTTGCCATTGTGCGGATCACAGGGTTTGTCCTGTTTTTTATGGCGCTGTTGCATGTCAAGAAGACACGTCTCCGGCACCTGCCTTCACGGCGCACGCGCGTCTCTCGCCACCATGGAGAAACGTGTGTCTGGATGGAGCGTCTCGCTAACGCCGTCATTGAGATGTTCTACGTGTCGCTGCAGGAAAAAGAGACGAAGACGATGATGGACGATGAGAAAGAAAACCAGAGGCGGCAGCAGACCGCAACATTTGACGCAGCCGGCTCTCGGCTTAGAGGTCAGGGGAATAACACCCGCAGTGAGGACAGCACGGGTGTGAAAGGGGCGCCTCGGCGACTGCTAGATTTCATTGAAGAACGACTGGAGGCCATGCTTGAGGACCGTGGTATTGCGGCAAATGCGACTTTTAAGGTCCATTCAATCGGTCGTAGGCCGCCGAGTGTGCGTGCCATTCGTGTGACAAATCTCACAGGTACGGAATTTACTTCGAACTTATCCTCAACCCCCCAAGCAGGGGTTGGTTCTGTTGCGGCAGGTAACTCTTCTATGGCGACTACAATTCCATGTGCTCCTGGTGTTCCTGTTGCCACTAACACTGCAGGGGCTGTATCGGCAGGCGTCAGCAATCCGGCATCCCAAAAAGTGAAGGGCCGTACCGCGCAGCTTGGGCCGCATGCCCCGGATGACATGGGGGAAATGCGGTCCGCTGATTCCCTCTATGATGAGACATTGGGTGGAAACACGGCATCGCTTCCAGCAACTGCCGTGGAATTGGAGGCAGAAGTAGAATACTCTGGTGGTGCAGATTTCTCACTTCAAGCGGATATTTGTTTGGCGCGTGGTAGGCTTCTTCCGGTGTCTGTTAGAGTGAATGAGGTAAAATACATTAAAGCCCACGTTCGTGCGTGTGCAAAGCTGCAGTATGAAAGAGCGACCATGGATAGTCGGCGAAAGCCATATCTTCAGTGTACTTTCTGGCTGGAGTCCGAGCCAACATTTTCTCTCAAAATGTCAACTCTCTTCACCCGATACTATATCAATGACTTTTTTGCTGTGCCTTTGATAGCCAAATTCTTCTTGTTGCGATTTGTGCGGCGTCGAATGATGCTACCCAACGGTGCGGGCGTGACGGTCAAAGTTCCCCTGCCGGAGAACATTGTGGATGGCGGAACGCAGATGTGGTGCGCCTCAATCAGTGATGTTGCAACAGCCGTGAGCACCGTGAATGGTCGAGGACCTTCTCGTGGCGTTGGATGAGTTCAGATACAGTTTTTCTCTCATTCCCTCCTTGTATATGCATTTATAATATGTATACGTGGGAAGGAGGCAGCGTGAAGCGCAAACTTAAAAAAAAAAAAAAAGAAAGAAAGAGGCATTGGATCATTGTCAATGTTTGCACTCAACTGGGTAATCTCGAATGGTGGATAAAAGGAACGGAGAAATGAAAAACTGCATGAATTCTTTGGAAAAAGGAAAAGGGAATCTCCAGTTGTTTCTTTTTATATTTCTTTATTGTTGTTATTTTTGTTCTTGCCTTTGATTCCTTCTTGTGTGCAAATATATGTAAGGATATACGTCTTCCCCCCCTGAATATCCATTGCCAACCACGGGAAATACAGTCACAACAACAACAAAATATATATATTTACGGAAATAAGAGGAGAAAAGGGGAAGACGACTGTTGGGAATTGGTTGAGCGCCTGGTGGCAAACTCACACATATTTAGGATTTGTATTTGAATCTCTTTTGTTTACTTACCGCCTTTCTTTTCTTCTTCTTCTTTCTCCTTTTTGTTGTTTTGTCAGTTCTACTTTCACTGTTAATCGCAGTTACTTCACATCACGCAACGGCACGGTGGTCACTGCGCAAGGAATGAATGCGGCGCGACGAAAGTTCATCAAGGACATGATGGCGCATTACCGTGCCTCTCAGCCGCCAACGGATCACGAGACAATTTTGAAAGATCTACAGGAGCGTGTATTAGACATTGGACTGCGCTCTGTTAACAAGGCACATGTGGAGCTCTTTGGATCGCATGTTAGCGGATTCTGTAAGCCGACGTCTGATGTTGATCTCTCTTTAACCTATCGCAACTTTTCACCCTGGCTTCAGGGAATGGAACGAGTTGATGAGCAGAACAATAAACGCATGATGCGCTTCTCAAAGGAGGCAGCAGAAATGGGGATGGAGGATGTACGTTACATTCGTGCTCGCATTCCTGTGGTGCAGTTCATCGACAGTCTCTCAGGGCTTCACTGCGATCTTAGCATTGGAAACGTGGGTGGGGTGGAAAACTCAAAGATCCTTGCCGCCATCCGTGAGGTGTTCCCTGACTTTTACCGGGCCTACATTCACCTTGTGAAAGAGTGGGGTAAAGCACGGGAGGTGATTGCACCGGAGCGATCCACATTCAACAGCTTCACCGTGACGACCATGGCACTTATGGTCCTTCAGGAACTTGGACTGTTGCCTGTCTTTTCAAAACCAACGGGTGACTTTGGCGAGTTGACGCTGCCTGATGTGCAGCTTCAGTTGGAGAGTTTTAAGCTACCGGCCATCTATGACTCGCTACAAGGGGATGATGAGAAACTTGGTGAGGCTGTCTTTTTTTGCCTGCAACGCTTTGCGGAGTACTACTCAAAGTATGACTTTCGCTCTGGTACCGTGAGTTTAATCCACCCGCGCCGGCATCGCAGTGTCTATGAAAAGGTGGTGAAACAGTATCTCGAGCGGCTGGGGGTGAAGAAGCGCATTGAGTGGGAGAAACATCTTGCAGAGCACAAGGAGGATGGGGCATTTGATGAAAATGATTTCTCCGCAGCGATGCAAAATGAGGCGACGCAGCGCCCCTGCACATCACCTTTTGTCGTGGAGGACTTTGTGAATTATGTGAACTGCGGTCGTCGTGTGCAGGCGACACGCGTGCAACATGTGCAGCAGGAGTTTAACCGTCTGCACGAGATGCTGGTGGACAAAGAAGAGGAATTGGATTTTGAGGAGGTCTTCCGTGAAAGCGATGTTGTGCCACGCTTTCATGGCTTTGAGGGTGTCGGTGCAAGGGACCCGCGCGTTAAAACCTTCCGCGCGCGGTAGTCGCTTTTCGATCCTCAGCTCCTTTGTACAGACACACAGAAATACACATGAACGGGGTGGTGTCATCTTCTTTCTGATAATCTTGTTGTTGTTGGTGTTGGTTGTGGTGTTGCGGCAGCCGTCTCACGCCACTTGTAATGATGGGAATGAGTCCAACGGGCCGAGAAAGGAGGGGGGAAAAATTATATACATATAAAGGGAAAAAGAAAGAAAGAACGATGGGACGGTTTGTTGTTGTTGTTGTTTTTTTCTTTTTGTTGGTGCTTTTTTCTGGACTGTTTTGCTTTTTTTCTCCTCGTATCTATTGTGGCAGCAGGTGGCGGTGTGGTGGCGGGGCGGTGTGGCGACGCGAGATCAAACATGTCAGTGGGTATTTACTCGCTGAAGGCGGAGACGAATGCAAGCAGCACCGGTGGATCCCGTGGGCTTAATAGAATGCGGCGTTTACCGGCGATTCAGTTGGATTCATGGGAGTTCCGTAAACACGCGCGGGAAGGCTCCGTCATGCCGAATGCGCTTGTCGCATCTGACGTGGATGGCGATGGCGTGGAAGAAATTGTTGTTGGTACCACGGAGGGGCAAATTCTTGTGGTGAAGCCGGACCATCGCATGCCAATCTTCTCCCGCACGCTTGCCGCAACCATCTCCATTGTGTTGTATAGCGCAACCTACCGTCGACTTGTATTGGTGACGCTGGAAGGAACATGCGAGGTCACGGAGGGGTTTCTATCAGGCGGTTGCAAAGTCCCACCATCCGCCTCCAGCAACGCACTCCAAAGCAAGAGTCAGTGTGACTGGGGATTGCCACCCTCTCTGGAGCCCAGCAATCACATGAATCACGGCTGGGGTGGTCACGACGAGGGAAAAAAGTCAATCCCCCCATCCACTTCTTCACATGTCTTTTGTATCGTCCCAAACTGCACGTGCGGCGATATTACGGCAGAAGTGGGTGGCACGACGATATTTCTTGGCGCCCACAATTGTATATATGTGTACTCCATCACAACAGACGGGGAGTGTCTTGGATCTCTCTTGCTGCAGGCACCCGTAACCTCCATGAAGTGTTTTACTGTGCCGTTTGCTACAGAAGGTCATTTGCGCATCATCAACGCTCCTCTATTCCCTTGTAGGAATGCTGCGGCAACACCGCAGACAACTTTCGACGGTTCTACTCCCAGAAATGATGCAGTGTTTATTGGATCATCCACCCAGACCGTAGCAGGTGCAACATTGCTCCTGGTAAGTTGTGGTGAACGGCTTGTTTTATTGAACGCATCCAGCCAAGATGTAAAGGAGTGGGGAGGCTCAGGCAACCTGCGGTGTGTTGCAACACAGGAGTGTCCATTAGGGGATTTTCCATTAACAGGTGGTCCAAATATTCACACGGCTTATTCCTCCTCCTTTTATACCACGGACGTATTAAATCCTTATGAGGTGACGGGTACTCGGAGGACACCTTTGCAGCCATTATGGCAATGCTCCATGAGTCGAACCTCAGAAATGCAACAACGACAGCGGTGGCCATTGAAGTCCTCCATGGATGAGGGCCACACACAGAGCGGTTTTTTTGACCTGTCGACAGTGAGCCTTCCGGTTTCTTCACCAGATACTTGTAACGTGGTACCGCGTGAAGAATTGTTGCTGTCGCCACGTAGGCAGCAGTTACAGCGTGGTGTCTGCGACACCGCCGCTGCAGGCGCCTTATTAAATTACAAGGAGGATAGTGAGACGGCATTGGATTTACTTGAGAATGATTTGCCTGTTTCTTTTGCGGTGGATGTGGCGGTGAGTAAAAATAAATTGCAGTTTGCCATTGTCAGCGAAGATGGGCGTTGGCTTATCCTTGAGATGTCGCCTGCGTGCGGTGAGGGTTCTATGGGGGCGGTCCCAAGGACGTTAAGTACAAAACAACATGAAAATGGAAATGAATACCCTCCTAATAAATGGTTTTCCGCCACTATTGTGTGCCTAGCGTCGGGATGTTTGAAGCCACAGTGGTTTCTTTCGTGTGTTTGTAATTTCTGTGTCCGACAAGATGAGTTTTGTACCGTATTTCTCTCCACAGAGGGAAACTGCTACCTTGTGGGCAGCAACAGCGAGATTTCTGAGTCACGCCTGGGAGCAGATGCATCCTCATTTACAATCTTGAAGGGTGGATTTATGGGGAATCCCGTGCACCCAGCTTGGGCTTCTTCCAACTGCGCAACGACAGTCATGCCTACTGGCGTATCTTCTGCTTTAGTGCGTGATTTTACAGAATTGCCGCAAGAACAACAACAGCCGAGTCTTCTTCGGGCCTCCAGCGGCCGCGGTGTCTGCCTTGTGTGCGTGACCCTGGATGAGATTGTGATCTCCTCCGTGGGTAGCGAACTGTTCCTTTCAGCACAACAAAGTTCCGTGCCTCTGGCTGTCTCGCGCGGCTTGAACTTTGCTGGTGGTGATGGTATACATGGGTGGAACGAGACGCGTAGTAGCTTCGGCATCACCGCGGAAGGTGGGGCCCATTTTGTTGACGAAATGGATGAAAGGGAGGAGGAGTTGATGCTACAATTGGGCACTGCATTGCTTGAAGCCGAAGGCTACGCAGACCCGACAGCTCTTTTCTCTCCAGAAGAACGGCGTTTTGCGGCTCGGATGTTGTGTGCCGCGGGTTACACAGAGCGGGAGTGGGAATTACTGTGGCAGATGGATGCAGAGTTATCGGAATGACAAGACACCAAAGTTGTTGTTGTTATTGTTGTTGTTTCCTTTTTTTTTATCTTTGTATTATTGTGCAATTCAACGTGTGTGTCTCTTTCTACAGGACAAGTGAATGTGTTGTATGCGCCTGTTCAGGACTTTTCCCTCCCCTCATTTATGTGTTTGTGTGTGTAATGCAAGGGGCTGAATTATATAACGCATAGAGATCCACCCACCGTGGGCTTCTAAACAAACGAGGCGAAGCATATGAACGGTGGCGGGGTTAAAACGCCAGTAGACCAAAACACCACCGGGGATGGCGCCGTTGCGAATTCGAAAAAAGGAACGAGCGGGCAACAAAGAAAGCAGCACCCTCCGAAACGAGGAGCTGAAAAGCAGCGAACGGAAGACGACGTAAGATCACCGGTAGGAAAGGATTTAAACGCACAAGACACAGCGCGCACCGTCACTTCTTCAGGGCTGAGGCGTTTGAGTCATAAAAAGGACGTGAAGCGGTCGTGTTCACCCGTTCCAATTACCGAGATCCAGTGCGAGGCAGGAGTCGCGACAAGAAATAGGACCAGACGTGTGAACCCGCCAGACTCGCTGTGCACGTTGGTTTCGATTGGCGGCACAAAATTCAATGAAGGAAAACCGGACGAAAAGAAGAAGGCTGGGCACAACTTCTCAAACGATGCAAAATCCGAAAACTGGACGGCAGCAGCGGCGACTAATACGAAGGGCTTTAATGGAAAGTCTCTGCCGTCTAAAGTGGAGTCGCCGCCCTCGTTGTCTCCAGCATGGATTCTCCATCGAGCAGGAATAGACCCCAAACAATTTCAACAGCAGCGTCGGCAACAAACGGGGAAAAGCCTGTTAACAGAAGATGAGTTGAGTGTCTTTGCTGGGCTTGTAATTCTTGACGGAAATGATGGTTGCGGTGATGATAATGATGATGATGGTAGCGTGGAGTATGAGGATGAGTCCGTCGTGGTATGTCCCTTCCGACTTGTGGGTAGCTGCGTGAAGGGGCAGCACACGGAGAGAGAAATGCTTTCAAGTGACACCATTCACTCGCACTTAATGTCATTGGCAGGCCTTGTGCATGAATTACGCACCGAGCAACGCATCACGGAGAAGGAATGCCAGAAGCTGCACGTGAGGTTAGAGTCGCAGAAGATAACCATTGAACGGTTGGAGCGCTACATTTTGGCTCAGTGCCCTGCCTCAGGAAAATTATTACAAACAGAAGCCACGTCTCCGCATGAAATAGGCCCTGAGGCTCCGAGGACGGATGCTGGTAAAAACCCCAAGGGTAATATTCTGCCGGGATCCATTCTGAAGCCTGCGCAGGACCGATCGGTGCCTATGAAACCGGAAATGAACTCGTTGAGCAACAGCAAGCTTCATTTTAGGGGCGAATCGTTTTCAGAACGCGTACGAAGCAAAACGTCAGTGGAGACGCTTGCTTTTGAACCGTGTAACGCGGTGGCGACGAAAAAAGGAGAATTTGTCGGTTATGAGGGTGATCGTCATGGATCTGTAAAATACATGGCTGAAGAATTAGGCACACCCGTCGACTTATCGCGTGCGGCGTTGGATTTGTCGCAAGTGAGTGCGACGGGCGGAGCATCCAGAAAAGGGGCAAATAGACATGCTAGCGGAAAGCAGCGGCATCAGAAACAGGAAATGCCAGACTGGCGAGGGCATAAAGGAAAAGCGCAAGATGACAGGTACGGCGGTGCCGTTGGTGTGGTGGACGACTCACGTGGTGATGTTCTCAGTCCCATCCCTACGGTTGTTGGCCTGCAAGATAACGACATGTCGTCAAACGATGACGTTGTTGTGGCGGTGGCTTCCAGTGTGCATCCATCGGGTGACGCCGTGCAGCTCCCAGACTTGGGCGAGCGTTGTACGGCAAGTTCAAAGGTCCTTCTGGGGAAAAATAACGGAAGGCAGAATGGGACACGTGAGAAGGCCAAAAAAAGGACCATTCAAGGGAATTCCCATAGCTTTGGCTCCTCGAACGAAAAAACAAAGCGACAAGGCAAAAATTTACGCTGTGTAGATTCTGCGTTGGAAGAAGCGCATCTATCGATTTTGCGACCGAACCCAAAGACATTTGTAGAGTGCGAACAATTACGGTTGAGGTACCATAAAGCTTGTTGTTTCATTCTATATTTATTTTTTATTGTCATTATTTTTTTTATTTGGTCTTTTTTTTTTGGTGTTTTTGCCTGACGGGGAAGGGGAGAGAAATATACATGAAGAGGGGAGGAGCTTGTGTAGATCCCGTGCAAGGATCTTGTTGAGCACCTTCATGGTGTGTTTGTACGCATATAACTGGGGTGTATTTGGTATGTAATGGTATATTATAAATAATTGTTATTTTTAATTGTAGAGTAGGAGGACCACTGCCGTGTGGACGGTTTGCCTTCCATTTGACAAAGGGATGGGCTTCTTCAAATGGCAAAGACTGTTCGTATATAATGTTGAGACGACATCCGCTTTGTTGTTGTTGTTGTTGTTGTTTAGCGGTGACGATAATGACGGCTTGCCGTTTTTACTTTTTTGTTGTTGTTGTTGTTGGAAGGCGGTTGCCAAATATACCACCGAGTGGAATGAGGATGAGAAGAGAAAGTGAGGGGAACAAAAGTGCGCATGTTCTTTTTCACCCTGTCCGTCCCTCTATTTGCTGCTTCTTTATATAATCGGCATTTGCGTGAGCGCGATTGAATTGCTTTGCAAAAGAAATTGACGGTGTTCACTACGGCCTGAGTAAATGGGCTCCGGACCCCGGCTTCCTGCAATACTTCCTTTTTTTTTTTTTTGCCGGTGTTTGTGTGTTTGTCTGTGTGCGCAAGCACGTGAAGAGCTGGTATATAAAAACAAAACAAAAAAAAAAAAGGGAGGAAGAAAGAAACAGAAATTCAAAACAAATAAAAGAAAAGAAGAAGAAGAAGCGGGTGAAAATAAGTAGAGGGGGTGGGTGAGGGAGTTTGGAGGGATAAGCAGTCCGCGTGTTATTTTTAAAGTTCTTAGTGTAGTAAAAAGGCTTGAAGGGTGTACCGATGTCGGAGGAAAAAGTACGTGTGTCGTGCCGTTTTCGTCCACTAAACGCAGCGGAGCAAAATGCCTGCCTGTGCGTGGCCTTTGAAGGACCCAGACATGTGATCTGTAGGACAGCAAGGAGTCCGTGTTGGACCCAGCAGCTGGTGGCAAGTCCTCGTGGCGCGCTGACAGATGACGCCTCTTCGCTGAGTGGGACTGTGGTGGCTTCAGATTATTACAAGTTTGCCTTTTCTCGCGTGTATGAACCCGACACGACGCAAAAACAGTTATATGACGATGTTGCCTGCCCCATTGTGGACGATGTCATGCATGGGTACAACGGCACACTATTGGTTTATGGACAGACGGGGGCTGGAAAAACGCATACAATGTTTGGTTTGCATTCTCCTCTAAGTGAGGAATCCGGGTCGTTGAGTTTTAATATGCATGAAAACGCCGCTGGTATCGTACCTCGTGCGGTGCGACAACTTTTTTACGCCATTCACAGTGCCGAGGAAGTGGTGGAGTTTGAGATACGTGTGCAGTTTGTAGAAATCTACATGGAACGTGTGCGGGACCTTCTTAATCCGACAGGATGTAGTTTACATGTGCGTGAGGACCCGGCTGGATTCTACGTTGAAAATTGCGAAATGCCGTACGTGACAAGTACGGAGGAAGTGCTGCAACTCGTTCATAGTGGGCTGCGTCGGCGCGTAACCGCTGCAACAACCATTAACGACGCCAGTAGCCGTAGTCACTGCGTTCTGAACATTGTAGTGAAGAGTGTCAATCGGGCGAAGCACGAGGCAACCATTGGGAAACTATTCCTTGTGGACCTTGCGGGTTGTGAAAAGGTGTCGAAGACATTGGCCGACGGTCTTCGATTAGAGGAGGCAAAACTGATTAATAAGTCTCTCACCACCCTCGGACATGTTATCATCTGCCTGGCGGAAAAGAGGGCGCATGTACCCTACCGTGATAGCAAACTTACACGGATTCTAAAGGACTCTCTTGGCGGTAACTCACGCACGGCACTCGTTTTGTGCTGCAGTCCGTCTCAACTGGAGGCCCATGAGACTCTCTCGACACTGCGATTTGGTGCACGGGCACAGAACGTGTGTAACCGGGCGGTCGTCAATCGGCAGTTTACCACTGAGGAACTTAAAGGCATGTTAGATCTGGCGAAGGTGGAGATACAAAGGCTGAGGTGTCTGCTGCGAGGAAAGGCATGTAGTGAGTTGACACGGGAAACATATACTTCTCGAGGTCATTTAGAGGCGCAGGCAGGAGGTCTGTCACGTCGTACCAAGGAGTCTTTTGAATTGGATAGTGTGGATGCTTTGCTGCAGCAAGGTGTCCGTGAGCAACTTTCTTTGGAGGATATGCGGGCCGAAATGGAGCGCCTGCGTGACGCGTTACGTGACGCGCAGTACACGACGGATCTTCTTTATGCGCAGTCTGCAGCACAGGCCTCGGTGGTGCAGATTCTACAACAGGAGTGTGCTGCATGGGAGGAGGAGTTTTCCAACGTTACACGGGAGTTGTACGCGCAACGTCGCTACGCGGAACATTACCGAATGTTGTTTCATGAGGCACGAGAGGAGGCGGAAGTTTTGCCGCTGCAGTTGACATCATATATGGAGCAGCTGCACACACTCCTTGGAATGGTAGAAGATGGATCTTTTTTGCCGCAGCGCCACGTTCGCCGGTCGCCGTTTAGTCGTGATTTGTCACAGAACACAAATAAGAGTGAATCACCGCCCATAACTCCACACGCAGGCACGGGTATTCTTGAGGGCACAAGGGGGAATACAAAATCAACGAGTGACAGGAAATCATGCCCAGTGGAGAGTCAACCATTTGTTATCATCCCGCCACGCTACGAAAGGACGGGTTTACGGCGTGGCGACAATGTCACCGCAGCAGTCTTCGACGGTATTCGAGAAATGGAGGACAATGACTGGACCGGCCACCATAGCGGCGATGGGGACCAAAATGAGGGTATGATGCTGAATCGCATGGAGGCTGTCATGGATGAGGTGGAGAAGTTGCGAAATTTGAACGGGGCATTGACGTTGGAGCTGCAGCTCGCAGAGAAGAAGTTGGTCATCCGCCATGAACGTATTGAAACCCTTAAACACGGTCTGCGGCAAGAGTGTGCGGCAAAACAGGAGCTGCAGCGTACACTGGAAGCTGAACGGGTTTGTCATCAAGCCCAGCTTCAGGACGCACGCAACGATGCTCTTCACTGGCGACAGCTATACGATGATCTGCTTAATAACTCCCATACCCGCAGTAGAAAACATAACGGGAGGCACCGTAATGAACACAGGAGCAGCACACCGACGCTAGAAGCCGCGCTGACGTCACGGGAACCCAGTTCACCTGCAGACTCCCCCGTTGCCATGGGCCATGGGATTATCGTGAAGCCGATTCGCGGTGGGGGACAAAAGGAGTTGAACTGAACTGTGTAATTTCTGTTGGAAGGAGTGTTTTGAAGGCGGGGTGAGAGGAGTACTTGAACCGTAAAGCGAGTGAGCGATTCTGAAAGGCGCCGTTGAAAATCCGTGTGTGTTTGTGTGTGTGTCGGTCGTTGTGCATGGCCTGTTTATCACAGAAGTAACTGCAGGAGTTGTTTTTTTATGTCCTTTATGATTTTTTATATTGTTTTCCCTGTTGTTGTTGTTGTTGTTGTGTTCTTTCTATGTTCACTCCCACCCTCTCTCTCTCTCTCTCTCTCTCTCTCCATTTCTTTCTCCTTCGGCGTGTGTGTATGTCTGTTTTTGTTATTTATTTTCCTTTCTTTTCCCCCTCAATGGACACGCATGTATTTGTGTTCCTCTTTCCCCTCCTCCATTCTCAATGAGTAAAAAGGAAAAAAAAAAAGGGGGGGAATTCACCCCGTGTGCACGTGAGGGTGTATGGCACCGCTTTTAATGCAGCAGAATCTTGTGAGTTTGATCGTGCAAATATTGCTGTTGCAACAAAGATGACAGCATCACGGGGTTGTTTTTCGTTTGTTTGTTTTGTTGTTTTTTTTTTTTTTGCTTTTGTGGTGTGTTGCGTTGCCCGCTTCTTTTTTTCTTTTCTTTTTTTTTTTTTTTTTTGGAGGTGACATCAACACACAGACGCAAACAGAACAATGTGTGTGATAATGTGATCTTCGCCAGTGTTATTTTCCTTTTTTTATTGTTTATTGGTGCGTACTCTGTTGCACCATTATTTTACACACATGTATATATGGATAGATAGATGGATGGATAGCCATTAAGAAGGTTCCATTGCATGCAAAGGGAAAAAGTAAAGGTAAGAGAAAGATAAAATTGATAAATTGACATCAGCCAGTTTGACGGCAAACGTGCTCTATCTTTTACCTATCATTTGTGTGGATTTTTTTTTTTTTTTTTTTTTTTGGGGGGGGGGGGAGAAAAAAACGGGAGTTTCTATTTAAATAGACACATGTATACATGCATATAATTAAGTGGAGAAGTGCGTGTTGTGTGTAATGCTGCTCATATATTTATTTATTGATTGATTGATTGATTGATTGATTCAGCACGGGGTGTACTTGAAACATACGTCTGTACGCCCTGCTTTAATGACATGCACACATTTGTTTGCCGCCGGAGTGCGGAATGAGAGGAGGAGGTGGTGGTGGAGGAAGAAGAAGAAGGGAAGTAACGAAAAAAAAAAAAAAAAAGTCCATAACACAAAATTAAATAAAAGAGAGAAGTAAGTGCATGAATACCCAAGAGAGAGGGAGGGAGGGAGAAACACGGACAGATGTTAGGCGGCTGCGTTCATGTGATATTTTATCGTTTTGCATGCGTTGGGAAGTCTTTGGTGTTATTTTTTAGACTCACTCATATCACTCCCTCTTTTTTTTTTTTTTTTGGTCGTTTTGTTTGTTTATTTGTCTTTCTTTTCTCACGCAGCCGTTAGTAACTTTCTGAAGATGGGGGAAAGTTGTTTCTCACTCTTTATATTTATTTATTTCTATAAATATAAATAAATACAAATACAAAGTATTGCATGCATACACACATACATATACATACATATATATGTGCATACATAAAGGGAGAGAGAGAGGGGGAGGAGGGGGAGGAGGGGGATATGTGTGGATACGTGACGGGGAGAAGTTTTAAACATGACGTTATGAAAATGTCTTTCCTGATCTTCCGTGTAAACAAAACAATAATAATAATAATAGGAAAACAATAAACAGTCATTGAATGAATGAATGAATGGAGAGAAGAGGAAAAAAAAAAAAAAAGGAGGTGAATTATCGGCCTAAAACAAAAAGGGAAAGGGAGTACATGCATAAATATATGTATATATTACGCTCTTGTCTTTCCCCACCCGCCCTACCAAAAATATATATATATATATACTTTTACACTCATCCTTATTGGTTTGAAAGAAGTCTTCTTGTTGTGGTGGTCGTGGTTGTTAGTTGAAAGGAGGGAAACACACGGAGGATAGATACGCACTCGCAAGCACACAGACACACAGAGAAAAGAGGAATTTAAATTTTATGTTGTTTCGCGACTATCGCGTGCATCACGCTGCGCCAGACGGCATTGTCGTGCAACTCCCGGGCAATGGCGGTTTTGGCAGATTAACGGTTGAGACATTAGGAGGTGATCTCCTTGCGGAGAAACTTCTCAAACGCCTTGCGTCGCGCGAACAGGTGCGGGCCGTGGCAAGACGCACGCGTGATGCGCAGCAGTATCGTATCCTTAGCATACAACTGCGTGAGCTGTGGAGCGATGTCGCAACGTACCCGCCGCCAGTGGCCACGTTACTCCCCAATTTGTTTCGCAAAAACGTACTTATTGGTCTAGGCACCACCACCATGGCGCGTGTTGTGAAGGCATCCCCTGAGCGTGGTGCGGTGCTGTCGATTGCCGGTGGTCTCACTGCCCTGGCAGCGCTTGAACATGTCGATGCGCATGCCGGTGCGGTGGAGGTGCGCCTGCTGAATTATGACGTTCAGACTGGCGTTGCCAATGTCACCGCACGGACGGAGGTGGTGGAACGCACCCCTAGCGATGTGATCGCCATGCAGACAATTTTCTCAGGTCTGCAGGCAGGTGATGTGGTGCCAGCCACAGTGTTGCTTTCACTCACGGACGATCACTGCGCCATTGTTGAGGTCCCGTGTGGTGCAAGCAGTCTGATTGGGTACTATGTTTACAATTGGCATGGGACCGCCGCGTCCGGTGAGCCACCCGTCGTGGGGGCCTCTATGCAACTCGTGATTGAATTTGTGCCGCACGGATCACTGCTGCAGGAGGTTCTCCCGTTTCTTGTGCTTTCCAGCAACCGTACCGTCTTCACCTTGCCGCATTGGCGCAGGGCACCATTGCCACCGGGAATGAAAGGACTCCTTGGTCTTTTTCCCTGGCGTGACCGCAAGAGACAACATTCACTTGGAGGGAAACAGCAGCAGCGACATCCTGAGACTGAGAGCGACGAAAACGATAGCATTGATGATAATGATGGCACCACCGACAAAAATGGAGGTAGGGAACAGAAATTGCGCAAAAGAAAAATTGAGGAGGCTATTGATGCATACGAGCGTTCTATGGAAACGACTGTGCCATCCTCGCCGGATGAGTTCCGGCGGCTACTTCTGGCTGCTCCAAACAACAGTTATTTGTGGGTCCAATGGATGGCACATCATGTTGCTCTCCAGCAGCAGGAAGAAGCCCGTCTTGTGGCCGAAAAGGCGCTGAGTACCATTGGTGTTCGTGAGACGCAGGAACGTCTGAATGTTTGGGTGGCCTACATGAATCTTGAGAATATTCATGGTACGGTGGAGTCTCTTTCGGCAGTGTTTAAGCGAGCGCTGCAACGTGCTCCTGACCAACTTGTCGTGTATGAACGTCTCGCCGACATCTTTTCCGCCACACGCAAGCCAAATCAACTCCTGGCTCTGTGCCGCAACATGGTGTCCAAGTTTCGCAATGAGCAACGCACGTGGGAGCGACTTGGTAAGGTGCTTATAGACCAGAAAAAACGCGATCAGTTGAGGCGCATGGTAAAAGACATGGGCGGTGCTCTACGTCGTGACGCGTATTCTCTGACGGTTGTGCGCCTTGCCGTCCATGAGTACAAGAGTGGCAGTGTTGAGAATGGTCGTGCGTTATTTGAAGGTCTTGTTGTGCGCATGCCGAAGAAGTCGGATGTGTGGTCGGCGTACTTGGATCAGGAAATGGCTCTCCTTGTGCGCCGTGACGAGTCCGCCGCGGTGCCCCTCGTGCGGGCTTTACTTGAACGTGCAGTTGCCACGAACTTCTCAGCAAAGGTGATGCAGCAGTTCCTCACACGTTTCATGTCATTTGAGCGGGCATATGGCTCGCCAGCGGATGTTGAAAAGGTCAAGACCCGTGCGAGAAGTTATGTGGAGGCGAAAATCCATGCGTCGGTGGGGGATGGGGCTGACGGCATTGTCACCGCCGTTCACGTGAGCGCAAAGAATAATAACGGCAATAAAACCAAAAAGAACGATTCCGGCGTCACTGACGAAACGGATGAGTAGCGCGCAGAGGAAATGGGAGTGTGGGGCGGCACGGCGAATGGGCGAAAGCAGAACTCTGCTCTCCTTCTTTTGTGTGTCTGTGTGTGTGTGTGTGTACATCTCTCAGACTCTTCCTGTAACAAACGCAGCGATTAATTAGGCAGAAAAATGAAGTAGGGGTAAAAATATTTGCCTTTTGTTTTTTATTGTTTTGTTGTTTTGTTTTGAAAGGGAAGACATGTGGTGGAAGAGATGTCTGTGGAGGAGGGACCAGAGCAAAGAGAATGACCTCCAGATATATCTATACCTGCAAGGAAGGAATGGAAGAGAAATATGGGGTATGGTTTCCACTTTTACCGGTGTAAGGAGTGATCCTACATGCCTCTTCTATCATACAAACTGATAAGACATTCATGTCCCTTTGCAGAGTTTAATGAAAGAAACAAATTCAATACGAAGAGCAATGAGGTGGGAATATCTTTTTATTTCTTTTATATATATATATATCTTTGTGTTTATGTGTGTGGAGGGGGAAAGGGATTATTTATCTATTTTTTTTTTTTTTTTTTGCGTCTGTTCTCAGTTGTGCTGCACGTCTTTCTCTTTTTCTCTGCGTGTTGTTAGCGAAAGAGAAGAAGAGGCCACAGTGGTGATATTGCAAAAAAAAAAAAAAAAACACGTATTTGCGTTATTTGCGCTGGTGTTGTTTTGACGACATAAATACGGCGAGAAACAAAAAAGAAGAGAGAGAAAAACGGATCCGCTTGTTTCTGCACGGAGGACAGGCCCAAAAACAAAACATTCTAAGGAAGAAACAAGGAGGCAGGTAGGAGACCATCCGTAGAGTGGCTTGCATTACACAGCAAGGGAAGAACGGCATTATTATTATTATTATTATTATTATTATTATTATTAGCAAAAGGGAAAGGAGATGACTGAACACTTTGACTCTGTCAAGTCAATGATTAATAACCTGCGCTCGGAGGATCCGGAGGAACGGCTGACAAGCATGCGCGGCATTCACCTCATTGCCTCTACTCTTGGACCTGAACGCACTCGTGACGAGTTATTGCCGTACCTCACCGACTATCTGGACGAGAATGAAGTGGTGTTACGGGTTTTTGCCAATGCATTGGGGACGATGCTGCAAGAAGTGGGTGGTGCCGACCATTTGCAGAGCATTTTGACGCCCCTGGAGTTGTTGAGCAGTTTAGATGAAATTACCGTTCGTGACGAAGCTGTAACGTCGCTGCAGACAATTGGTGGGCAGGTATTTCGTGAGACAGGCGAAGCGGCTGCGCAGGCGCAACGTGATTTTCTTGATTTGGTACATCGACTTGGCAAAGCAACTACGCAATGTCGATCAAGTGCATCGTACCTTATCGCCACTGCCTACCCTCACGTGTCCACAGCAATTAAAGGGCAGTTAATGAGCCTGTTTATTGAACTTTGTAACGATAAAGAAATTATGGTGCGTCGCGCTGCGTGTATTTCGCTAGGAAAACACATGGTACATGTTCTTGGAAATCGAAGTACTGAGTTGATTAACGCGTTGACTGCTTTCTCACAGGACAAATTTGATGCCGTCCGCCTTCAGACGGTAGAGGCTGCCGCCGCACTTCTCAAAGCGTTACCGTACGAGCTACATGCAAATGTCTTCTCTTCGATTAAGGCACTTATGAGCGATTATTCTTGGCGTGTACGGCATATGGCGGCGGACCGGCTTGGTAAGCTCGCCGAGGCCATGTCACCGGCCGAGGTGAAGAATATTCTGCCATTCTTTCGTTCCCTTTCGCAGGATGCCGAGGCGGAAATTCGGGCCTCAGCAGTTTTTAGTATGGCCAGTTTATTGGCCGTTTTTCGTGACCCGTCTGCAAAGAGGGAACTCTTAACGGCCGGATGTCGACTTGTGAACGACGAAAATGCACATGTGCGGATGTGTTTGGCAAGTGCGGTTTTGCGGTCCGTGGCACACGTTGCAAAAGAGCTGTGGGCGACCACAATTGTACCGACCTGCACCCAATTGTTAAAAGACCAAGAAGCCGATGTTCGCTTGGCTCTTGTTTCTGGATTTAGTTCCATGGGAAATACCCCCGAGGCGAGAGAAATGGCACCCAAACTCGTTCCCGTTGTTGTGGCACTTGCGGGGGATCCGAATTGGCGTATTCGTGAAGTCGTTATATCACAGGTTCCGTTTCTCATCACCTCGTTAGGCAAAAACGCAGAAGATGTGGTGGAGCTCTGTGTGCAGCACCTTGTCGACCGTGTGGCGACTATTCGCGAAGCGGCGGTGCGATCCTGCTGTACGCTGGTGGCGGAGAATGGGACGGCATGGTCACGAGCATCGCTTTTCCCTCGGCTTAGTTCTATGGCGTCCACAAACAACTATCTTCACCGCGTTGCACTCGCACACTTTTATGCATCACTGGCGAGTGTCCAAAGCCTGGACTGCGGCACCGCCTCACAACACATTCTTCCCATGTTGCGTCTATTTGCTCAAGACAGTGTGCCGAATGTGCGTCTTAACTGTGCCAAGGCACTTTTGGCGCTGAAAAAGGGCAGACGACTGTCAGATAGTGACACTGAGCCGCTTATAAGTCGGTTGCGAAAAGACGCGGATGTTGACGTACGGTTTGTCGCATCAGAAGACTGATTGATTTGAAAATAGATAGAGTCATGAGAAGTAGAAGAAGTGAGGCAAGAATGGAGGATTTGTATGGGCGGATGAGTAATGCGTTGCTCGGTTTGATGGCAGAGTGTGAAGTGACAAGGCAGGAGGAAAGAAGTTGCGGGTCTCATTTGGAAATAGAGAGCAATATTCATTTTGCGTTTGTGCTTCCCTCATTCTTTCTGCTTGTTGTTTTTGTTGTTGAATGAATGAATTACTTACTATTTGTGTATGGCATTACAGCTGTATATATATATATATATATATATGTTTACTTGAATGGAAAGGACCGGATAGTTTTTTTTTTTTTTTGATTTCTTGTTTTTGTTTCTTTTCTCTCTCTCTCCAGATAGACCGTAGTGCACAGTAGGAGGCATGGGGACAAGAAGAATAAAAAGAAAATTGGAGGTGATGGGAATGGAGAAATGGTAGAAATCATTTCATTATAATGGACATGGCTGTAATGTGTGATGAGTTTGTCTGCCATTATCCCGCTGGTTCTGCGGAAAATGACTCTACAAAGATGACTTCTGGCCGGGAGGGGAAGGCAATCGATTGCCGTTTCTGCCTCGTCTGTCATTCTTTATAAGTGGAATTTTATTTGGTCGTTTGGCATCGCTGTTTCTACGCGCGGACTGCCGTCGCTGTTGCTGCTCGTGTTGGCAGGATGATGTTATTTGGTGAAAGCCATTTTATCTCACATGTATTTTCTTTTTCTTTTTTTCTTTGTTTTTGTTTGTTTGTTTCTCTATCCGTGGTTTGATTGTTGCAATGCCATGATGCATGCACTTTTTGGCTGTGACGGTGTCCATCAGTGGACGAGCACACCTCCCCCCTGTGTGAGACGATTTTGCACCGGTTTCCTCGTCTCCCTCTCTCTCTTTCTCTCCCTTCTCTCTGTGCAGGGGGTCTTCTCACTCCTCTTTTAGGACTGTGGTGGCTGCAGGAAACGCGTCCCACGTCATGTTGCGCCGGTCATTTTGTTTTATGAATCGCCCCAAAGGTCCGCATGGGTTGCGGCCAGGCAAAGAGTACCGCCTCACCATCCCTTACCGCAGTGAGGTGACCATGCTGCGGTGCGCCAATCACCGTGCCTTCAACTCAAATATTCGCGAGCTTTTTAAAAAGCCCCTTATGCAGAATAACATCAAGGCGATTCCTCGTGACCTGGGCGAGATACCGCGTAATTACGTCATTAAGCTTCTTTTCTTCCACCAACCCATACGGCTTGTAGATCTATGGTCCGTGTGCAAGGAGCACGATGACGTCCCTCTCGACTCCGCAAAGCATCTTCGCCTGGTGCTGAAGATTGCCAAGCTGCAGCGGTGGGTCTACGCAGAGAAGAATCAGACAAACAATTTGTATTATTATTACATTCATCAAAGCCGTGTCCGGGAGGTGCAGGAGATGGTCCGCGCGGATGAGGTACGCAAGAAGGAAAAGGAGTCTCTTGAGGCGGTGGAGGCAGAAAAGTTGCGCCGCGAGGAGGATGAAAATCGTCGAATGGCATTAGACGATAAAATTTTGGCGTTACAGAGTATTCTCATCTCTAATGTGGCGCAGATTCAACAGTTTGACCCCGCATTCGTGCAAACGAAACCATACGTGACGGAGGGTGGGGCGGTGAACGTGGCGTGGGGATGGCATGGCACGGAAGACGGAGGAGGTGGGGGAAGAAAAGAAGGACAGGAATAGTAGTGGCAACGATACTTGGAGTTTAAAGTTGTGGGATGTGGCTGGATGCTGATTGTGGAAGACATGAATTTTTTGGTGTGTGTGTGTGTGGTTTTTTTTTCCTGTCTTTATCTGCGGCTTCAATCTTTATTTTTCTTATTTTTCTTTTTTGTTTTTGTTATTTGTTTTATGCCCACTGGCTGCTTGGCGAAGAGAAGAGGAGGAAAAGTGGTGAGGTGTGGGCGGACCCTTACGAGAGGATCCTGCGCCGCGGAGCTCTTGCAGTATTACGCCTGGCGCACACTCCCACAGTTATAGCGCGACTTCTCTTTTTTTCCCCCTTCCCCATCCCCCTTTTAACACAAAACATATCGGCACGCCGTTGCCGTTGAGAGAAGAAAAAAACAACACAGACAGACAGAGAGTGGGAGTGGGAATAAAAATAACAAGCGGAAAATGGCCGTTGCGCCGAATGTTTTGCCGCCGTTTGCGGCGATTTTACCCGGCCTTCCCCTCGTAACAGAATTCAATTGCCTGGACGGTGTTCGTTGGATTGCACCTTTAGGCAACGCCCCGGAGTCTATCGTGGTCTTTCTCACATCACCAGCGCCTCTTGCGCCCGGCATTTGTCTTGGTATCTATCTTGCCCGCGAGGACGATGGTGCCTTTTTGTATGTGGGTCACCTGTCAAATATGCGGCCTAGCACTATCCTGCGTGTGCCGCCGGTATTGTTGAACGTCGACTTCCCGGTGCGGCTGTTGATTGGTATCAGCCAAGAGAAGGAGGAAGATGTGGCGAACCTGGGCGCAACGCAGGAGCAGCCGCTGCAGCAAGAACAAGCAGCGACAAGACTGGCAATGGCAGAGCGTATTGTGGAAGATTTATTTAATTTTGTCATGTCATACGGCCGGGTTTTGTCTGCGGATCCAACGGATGCGCAGTCGGAAGAAACAGTGTATCTTCCCGCCTCCTTTGTGAGCCGCTGGCGGGAGCGTGTGTTGACGAAGATGCGAAAAGACGCATCCTTCTGGAATTGAGTGGCAGGCATTTCCTACAATTCATTTCCGCTCGTTGCTCGTCTTTGTCGATTCGCGCTTCTTTGGCGTCTCTTTTTTACTTCCTCACTCTCTCTCTTTTTTTTTTTTTTTTTTTTGGGGGGGGGGGAAGTGGTGAAACGCCATAAGAAGAAGAAAATCCCGGGAATTTTTGCTGCTCGTTGTACGGATGCATAGATCGTGTGAGAGATGGCATAATGTGCAACATATACATTTTATGTCCCTCGCTGCTTCTGTTTGGTTGTGTCCGCTCTCTTCTTGACTGCAGGTATTACGGGATGAGAAGGTGTGGTTGAGAGAGCGTGGACGAGAGAGAGAGAGAGAGAGAGAGAAAAAAAAAAAATGAGAGGGAAAGCGAAGTAAATGAGGACGCGTCACACGGGCTCAAGAAACATTTGTTATTCAATATTGTATTTTATTTATTTTCTTTTTCTTTATTCTGATTTTTTGTCATCCGCCCCCCCCTACCATGACTCGTCTTTCCTTCTCCTTGTACACATGGCAAGGAGATGCGGGGACATACGTGTAAATGTGCGTATGTATATGTGTATATGTGTATGTATTTATAAATGTAATTCACTTTATTGCTGAGAATTTAACCGGTTTTTGTGTCTTCTCTTCTGTTTTTCTTTTCTTTTCTTTTCTTTTCTTGTTTTTGTTGTTGTGCGGCGGGGCGAGGGGGGAGGAGGGGGAAAGTGTCCCCAAACACATACACACATACACAGGCACAGAAACACACAGGCACAGACCGATAGAAAAAGGTTTATTGTTGTTTTTCTTTTTTTTTCTTTTTTTTTTCTTGTTGTGTGCTATTTGTTTGTTTGTTTGTTTTTTATTGCTGCGGTTTTATCTCTGTTTTTCGTTGTTGGTTGTTGGTTGTGTCGCTCAACAGGGAACGAAAGAAAAAAACCCCGAGTTGAGGAGGGGCAAAACACCGAACCCAAAAGAGGGAGAAGAGAAGAGAAGGGAGGGAAGGGGGAGGGGAGGGGAGAACGAAATACACTCAACAGTCCAACAGCAGGAGCCGAAAGGGGGAGGAGGGGGGAAGAAAGAAAAAGCGGTGGTGGTTGTGGCGGCAGGCGGCAGGCGGCACGCACAGTCAAATCCAATAAAATTAATAAATATATTTGAACTTTTAAGAAAGAGGGGAAGGGGAGAAACACCGATTAAAAAAAAAAAAATTGGAGAGAGAGGAAGCAACACTAACGGAGACGCAATTGTTTTTATTTCGAAGCAACAGGCAGGTGGGGGGACACACACACGAGAGTGAGGGATACGGCGAGAGAAAAAAACTTTTTGTTTTTAAAAAGGAGGGACCGACCGTTGCAAGGAGTGGGTCACTGGCGAAGTTTTGCTGAAGGGGGGAACGAAGCCAACAAAAACTCACAGCAGCGGATCTCACAAAATATTTAAAAAAAAAAAAAAAAGGAAAGGCAAGGGGGGGTGAGGTGGCATAACTTGAGGACTCTCTCATACGTACACACACACACACACATTGCACAGGGACACGAGAGGAAGAAGAAACAGCGCCTATCGGTTTAGTGAAAAGGGGAGGCAACGAAGCCTTTGGACTTCATTGCGAATATTTTTTTTTTGTGTGGAGTGCGGGAGTGAGTGTGTGTATTCTTTCTTCCTTGTGGTGCAAAGCCATTTAGAGCGAGAACATGGGCGCTTTCCCGTCGCACGACACTCCAGAGTTGTTTTATACGACGTTTGTGCCTCGGCCCTCCACGGAGACCCAAGTTGAGGTCTGCCTTGTGCCTCTGCTGCCGCGTTTCTTCAATGACACGCACAAGAAGGCCAAGCGGAAACTAAATGACATTCTGTCGCGCAGGGGGAACGACCCACCCCCAGCAGCAGCGACACCGTCAGGGACGACGACACCCGGAAGTGCGACGGCGAGCGCAAATTCGAGGCGTACAGAGACAACGAGCGGGGGTCCTATTGTGGACTGCATCATTGCCTCCAACGATCCATTTTTTCTCGTCAAGGTGAAGGACGCCATCATAAGCAGTGATGCCTTGCTTGGGAATAAGCCGCATATAAAGAAGAAGTTAACCACACCAGATTTGCCATCAGCGTCAGCAGCGGGCTCAGCAACGGAAATGAATACCTCTCATCACCATCAACAGCAATCCACATCGCACTCTTCTCCAGTTCCACTGTTGCGTCCAGTGCCGTTTGCTGTTTGTATATTGGACCCCATCAACCCTAGTAATGAGTCTTCGTCAGCCACATCAAAATCGCATTCACATTTGAACCGGGCACAACAAAATATTGCGGCGAATAGCGGCAATGTATTAATTATCAAGGGACATCGTCTGCAAATTGTGGGGTTTATCTCATGTTGCTTGGGTCGTCCAGTGCATCTTATTAACCCTGCCACCTTTACCAAGACGCAGGCTCTTGGTGGCGGAGGCAGTAGCGCGTACTCTTCACATACAGGTATAGGGGATAGTAAAAAACCATCCATTCCTGTGGTGTTAGATGTTATATTTGACGACGTTGAGGCGCATGGGTACCTTACAGAGTCCGTTGTGCTTCTAGCCTCCTTAGCGTTTCGAAAACAATTTGTGAATAGTTCTGCCCTTTATTATCCTGCCGAGGATAGAGATGTGGAGGCCTCCTTTGACTATTATATGGAACGTTTACAACTACGCATTATACTGCAGCATAATAATTACCGGGAGTTACGTATGTTTTACTCCCAATATGCTCTGTTAGACATGATCAAAGAACTCCGTATGCACGAAACCGCGCCTCCACATTTTTCCATGTATGAAAATCACCTCGGAGAGTACGGTTTGGAAGTGACGTTCAGCAACAAGTTTTTAGGATTGTGGCTACGATATGTGGAGAACAAAATGCGGGTGGATTCTGTCAAGGGTCAACACATCCGCTGCAATACCATTGATTTTCTACAAGAACGCCAACGATTAATGCAGGAACGGCATGACAGTGGGGCGTTTTTGGAGGAGGAGGAAGAAGATGAACGTCTGTATGGTGGCTCATTGCTTGCATCTACACTTAAACAATGGCTTTTGAAGGGGTCTCAATCGGCCTTGCAACAACAAGCTCAACTCGCTGCCGCCCAACAAATGATCATGTATCCGCCTACATCCGGTACCGCTACAACTGCTGCTAATTTTTGGTCGCATATGCCTACGATGTTTATGGGGGCGCCTCCCGGATGGCCAACAAACGTTATGCCGTTTAATGCCGCGGCAACGTCAATTCCACTCATGCCAGGTCAGCAGCAGCAATTTATGTTCCCCGGAAGCCGACCGCAGTTGCAATACGCCTCGCCACAGACGACTCTTCCAGGCGCCTCTCCCTTTTCTTCGCCTCCCGGTCTGCACGTTCTCTCTCCTGCAACTTCATCTTACGGTGTGGCGGCTGCGCGTGGTGTGCCACCGCAGCAGATTTTATATGTCTTGCCTGGTGGTCCAATTGCCCAGTCATCCGCGATGCCACATGCCCCGACCGCAACCGCCGCCTACCCACCTGGCGCCGCCCCGCCAATGTACTTTGCACAGCCACCCACGTATGGAGTTCCTTATAGTTCATACATGTTCTCCCAGCCGCCAGCAACAGCCCCAGCACCACCGGAATGAGAAGAAAGAACTACATTGGAAGTGACGCCCATTATTAAAATGGCGATACTGCCGTGGTCGGCGTTTGCATGGGCAATGCAGTGATCACCGTGAGCCCAGAATGTGTATGCAAGAAGGGAAGTACGAAAGCGAGGGCAGAGACGTCAATGAATCGAGCATGAGAGCTTGCCTGGAGGAGAACTGTGTTTCTGCGTTGGGTATTTCTGCATCCCTCGCTTTCTCTTCCTCTATGTCTGCATATATATATATATATATATGTGCGTCTGTGTATTTGCGGCCTTTTACCCAAACACACATACACACACCAGAAAGAAAAGAAAAAGGAGGG